GGAAAATTATACATATAGAAATAATTATTATATTGTCAAAAAACCAAGTAACTTAAGAGAGATACAGATAAATCCTATTAAAGTTTAAATTAATACTATATTAAATTTCTCTGGAGTTATTTGGAGAAACTGCATGGAGAAGGTGTCAATAGAATGAAGGCATTAAATATAGGTAAATACAGGGGAACATAGTCAGAAATAATGAACTTTTTAGGCGGGGCAGGAAATCTACAAAAAGCAAAGGCGTAATGAAGAGAAATCTCAAGAAATGTTTAGGTCACAGAAAGGAGTTTACTTTTACTAGAGTAGGAGTTTTTGAGGCTGTGTAGTGCAAGAAAGGTAGAAAGGTAGATTGGGGTTTCACAAATTGCTGAACTTGAATACCAAGTTTATTTGGGAAACAATGGCAAATCATTAAAGATTTTCAAAGTGGGAAAATATGAAATCATATCTATGCTCTAGGAATATTATTTTGGCAATAGATATTGGACTAAAAATGAGTGGCCTGAGACCCGGGGTAGGGAGAGCACTTAGGAGGCGTCTGCAGCTGTCCTGGGGATGGAATGCAGGGACTGTTCGGTCCCCTCGGGCAGGTACTGGCGGAGGTCACATGCTATAGAGGCTGGAGGGGAAGAATCAGCCAACTTTGGTTATTGAATATGTTCTCAAAGGTGACCTTCAAGTAATTTAGCAGGATAGACTCTGAAAATCACTGTCATTTTTTAAAATGGCACATGCAGGGGAAACAGGGATGAGCACCATTTTGGACATATTGAGCTTAGTTTACCATGTGAATGTGACAAGCAGTCAATTTTTGTAATGTTCTCGAGGAGGTTTGGAGTTGTTCCTGGAGTTATCTGCGTAACGTGAGAGAGATACCGTGGGGGACTGAGCTAATGTGGGGACTCTCTTTTCTGTTCCCATTACAGACACGTAATTATAACAACTTTTAAAACATATAGTCAAGCTCAGAAAAGTCCCCAGATGTCATCAAAGAAAATGTGGTGAGCAAATAGGTTGATGCCACTAGCATGTGGGGATATCTATTCCAGATATAATCCCTAGTGGCTTGGAAATGGGATTTTAATGTCTATATGGGAAAAGATAGATGTTCTGCTAAAACGTAGATTTGGAACTGAGTATTCTTGGTGTCTGGAAGCACCTCCTTGCCAGTGCAAAGTCACTGGAAGCTGTGCCAGGTCTACTTATGGGTTGTGGCTTTATGACACATGAGTATTGCGGAAACCCAAATTGAGAAATTAAGGTAGAAATTTGTCCAGGAACTGGTAAAGTCTGCGAGGCAAGGGCAAAAGGGAATCAGATCTCCTTTATTAGGACATTTAAGTAACTCAGGACTCTCATGGAACTCCTATAGAAACTAAAATCACCATGAAAAGGTACTCACAGTAAAAATGACAAACCACATGAGGAAACAAACTACCCTGGGAAAAAACAAGCAAAGGAAAAAGCAGGAGAACTTTAGAAAAGAAGGAAACAGAACAACCTGAAAAGGAGATTATAAATTAGCCCTTTAAAATATTTATAGAGGGAAAGGAAGAACATAATGAAATAACAGGTCTTTTTGAAAAAAAAAAAATAAGAATGAAGATTTGACAAAAAGAAACAAGTGTTTTTTCTAGAAGTGAAAAATACATTTATTAAATGACAATAATTAATGATTGCATTGAACAGCAAATCACATACAGTTGGAGAGGGGATCAGTGATCTGGAAGTAGGATTTGAGGAAATTGCTCTAATGAAGGATAAATTAATAGAAATTTTGAAAGTGAAGTTAAAGGGGAATGCCAAATAGAATTTTCAGAAGGAGAAAATACTGTATATAGATATGAGAGATATGCTTAATGAACTAGTACGTGAGAATTTTCTAGAAGTGAAGAAAAGCATTAATTGTTAATATTGAAGAAGTATAACAACTCCTGACATACTCATCGTAAAATGGAGAATATTAGATAAAACCAGATAATCCTAAAAACAGTAGAGAAAAAATTACTATAAAAGAATTATCATTAGACAGCAAAATTCTCATCAGAAAACACTGAGACCAGAAATAGTGAAATAACATGTTCAAAATGGCAAAATGAAATAACTGTCAACCTAGAATTCTATACCTGGACAAACTATTATACATTAATGAAAGTGAAATAAAACCATTTGCTGGGAGAATAGTCTGCAAAATTCTAGCATTGCTGAAAGAACTCCTACAGGATGTAGCTCAGTAAAAAGGATATTGAACCAGAAGTAAGGAGTGGGATGAAAAAAGAAATGGAGAGGTTGCAGTTTGAGGCTTCGGCAGAGTAGAAACTATTTGGAATAGATCTGTGAGAAATTTAATCATCAGCCAGTAAAAGATGGATAAAAATACTGTGGCATACGAATAAGGAAATTCCTGAGATTAGGTACTGTCAAGTCTGTGTAATATCACTTTTTACATAAGGGAATCAATCAGGCAATCCAGGTGAGCAGTATTGCTCGTAGTTGAGTGGTTTACAATTTTGGTAGAATAACTTTAAAAATTATTTTAGAATATTAGTGGTTGGCTTCCATTCTCTGAGTTTCTGATTGAATTGGTTTGGAGCTTATCCTAACCACCAGGGTTTGATTTTGTTTTTTAAGCTCCCCAGGTGATTCTGTACAGCCAAGGTTGAGAACAACTGTAATAGATTGTTAGAGAAGAGCAGAGTCTAGTCTAGAAACTGGCTTTAGCCACTAGTCAAAGCAGATGCTGTAGCCTATTTTCATCATGATCAAGGCCTTTTCACCTTCATGAAAATGCCTCACTTTTTATTGGCAGCTGGCAAGCTTTGCCTGTAAAGGGCCTGATAGTAATACTTTAGGTTTTGTGGGTCAGATGGTTTCTGTTGCATATACTCAACTCTGCTATTATAGTGCAAAAGTGGCCATGGAAAATAGGTAAACAGATGGGCATGGCTTCGTTTCAATAAAATTTTTTTGCAAAAGAGTGATTAGCAGGATGTGGCCTATGGGCATTAGTTTGCTGACCTCTGCTTTAGAGTGTTGAAGTACAGTTAATGAACACAGTTGAGAACCATCACATTCGCTTTGGAGAAAGTAGCCCCATGTGTGAATAGGTTAAAGAAGTGGCCACTCACAAGGGTGGGGAAGAGCATATGAACATGAAATGCAATGGAGTGTGAAAACCAGGCAAACCATAGACCAGGGAAGGAATCAGAGGGTACACTTGAGTGAATGGAAATGCACAAGGAGAGAGTTAGTGTTATGGCATAAAAGGGTAGCTGGGGCCAGGCAGTAAGTTGAGAATGCAAGAGAGGTTTGTTTCTTTTATATTGTTTTGCATTTGTTGTTTTTGCTTGTTTGGTTTTTCACGTTTAGAGATGTAGCATGTAAACGGATGGCTTGGATTTTCTATTTAATCACATCTAGATATTTTGGGTTTGGAATAAATGTACTTATATCTTTAACACATTTCTGTAATCATTGTATCTGAATTGAAAATACTTATCCTCTTTCATCCTTAGCCACCTTCTCCAGTGTTATGTTCACGTAAGAACGTTTTCTTTTCACATATCTTGATTAAATTTATACAGATTATCCAAACAATAAACTTAGATTATAGTAATTGGAAGGGCAGAGAGGTGAGTTTCCTGTCCAGCATAACTTTCAAATTTTACTTGAATTTGTCCTCTTTTCTCCTTCTCTGCCCTTACAACTGCTTGCCTGGCTTATGGAAGTGCTTATTTACTTTAATTCCAAAACACAACTTTTATTCACATTTTAATACTTTTGAAATTAGCTTACATCTCTAGAATCAATGGATAGGTATTGAATCATTGATGTATATTTTATTTTTTTACTCCAAAATCTGTTATGAAATTCATAGTGTATCTTCCAATTGACAGCGTCTTAGAATCAAGGAAATACAGTATTGTCTTTTCTCATGTTTTTGCCTCCATCTTCCTCTGGCAATCACTTCCAGAGTTCCCGAAGAGTTACATTTCTGGAAAACAAATCTGATCTTGTCATTACCTTACCTAATAATTCTGTGTGCCTCAAAATAGTTTTGGGCAATCTCAAAGTTTCAGACTCCTTGGTGTGGCATTAAAGGCCTTGTTATATAAAGCCTTTCATATTCTGGCCCAAAGAACTGGATCTCCAGTCTCATTTCCCACCACCCCTTTCTCCCTCATGTGAATTACTTCACTCCTGACAATCAGGCACATGATGCATTATTTTAATAGAAGGGTTGTACAATCTCTGAGAAAAGTTTAATAAAATGGGATTGGTGTTGAGCTGAAAATAGCTAAAACAGGCTTTTTCTAAAGCTTAGTACTTTAAGATGGAAATTATTCTTGCAGGAAAGGCTTGACTTTTTATATTAGAGTAGATTGCTGAAGAAGCTTATGGAATAGCTTTATTTGGAGCCTAAACACAGACTAGACACTCTTCTGTTTGGGATGATTCAGTGCACCCACGAGAGAGAAACAAGATGAACTTTGAGGTTGTGGCCAGTTCTAGGAGTTTTGGGTGATTAATGACTGTATCTAAATGAGGCCAAAACAGCCAGATGGGAATGAAGAGAGAAATTCAGTTGGTCCTCTACTTGTTCTCTCTATATAATTCCAAAGACCTGGGTATTTAACAGTTGAATGTTTGTACTTATTTAAATAAAACGATATATTTCACTGGTAGTTTCTGCTTTGAATGTATATATGTTGCTATAGTATAAAGAACCCCATGAGATAAACACTTGTTATCTTATCCCCATCTGCCATCAAATAACACATATCAAATAGTAATTATTAGAAAGATAAAAAATGCGAGTTAAATTGAAAATGCAAAATTGCTTTTGTTTGGTCTGAGAATACAACAATAATGAAAGCATAGTGTAAAATAAATTTTCTTATGCACTTTTGGCTATTTCTTCATTTGTATAAAATGGAAATTAGGAAATGACTTATCCACCATATGCATATTTATATGGCTTTGTATTTTAAATTTAGGTATGTGTCTTGTGCCCTGGGCTGTCCATATGAAGGAAGCATTGCAACGCAGAAAGTGACAGAAGTAAGATAGACCTCCGGTTTTTTGGTTCATGGTAAAATGATGTATATTATCTTAAAAAGTGGGCTATTTTACTTGCTATTTATTGCATCTGCTTGACAAAGACTAAGGAGAACCGTGAAATGGGAGACATGTTTGACCACTTAACACATAGTTTCATTTTAACACTGAAGACCCCTATAATGGCTATAACTGTTCAAAGTCAGATAACGTTTGAGTCTGATCATTTGGGTGCTCAGAGATGGAGGGAATAAAAACAGCTGTTTTGTCCTTACGTGGCTGGAGCACAGTGAGTGCCGTTTTCACTCTCCATCAGAATGTCGGGGCAGTTGGTGCGCACACACTTATTAAACTTTGCCTCGGCTGCTCAGGTAGCATCCCTTTGTCTGTCTCCTGCATCCTTTGGCATTTGTGTCGGGGGATACACTGCATCACTGTTTTTGCTCCTGTGAGATCCTATAGCTCTTACTGCTGAGATTCAAGTTACTATTATTGCAGAGCAATTTCACAGCGATAGATAATAGTTGTTAAGAAGCTGCTCATTCATTTTTTCCTTCCTCTCCCTGTTTATTAATTGAAAGCAATGAATACAAAATGCTCAGTCTTTGAGATTATGTTAGACTATCTCAGAAACTGATTTGTATATGAAGTATATTAATGTGTACCTGTTGTTAAGGTTGTGAATTGAAAATTTAGTAATGTGGTCCTGAAACAGCAAGGATGGCATTGTTAGAAAATCAAAATTTAGTTTGGCTAAAGCCATTCCTCTTTTGTACATTCATTTGAACTTTTGAAATTTGCTGCAGATTTTTCACATGAGAGATATCCCGTGGTCTATTATTTAAGCAAGACCTTTGCACACAAAGGCAAATATACTATAAAATAATGAAGCTTAAATTTTATAGTCCTTCACTTGTATGGGACCCTTCCAAGACTCTGTTATTAATTTGTATTCACAATTATATATTCTTTTCTAAAGAACATTTCCAAAATGGTGCAACTTCAGGCTCCACAAAACCTGGATCCAATTCTGCCTATACACCAAGCTCTTTGTTTTTCTGCCTTTTGCCTCCTGCCATCTCTGGATGGACCACACACCCCCTCAGGTTCTTCATTATTGCACCAGAATGCCTGAGGAGTTGCTGAAGAGAATCATGTAACAGATAGATTGGAAGCATTTGGAATTCATGACCGGCAACCTTAAATGGGTCTTCTGTGTTATTCTAATACATTATGTAGGCAACTCACTCTCCTTCTCTCTGAAATGACTATTGCAAACTTTGTTCACTCTGGTCAAGCCTCTAGTCCTTCCCCTCAGTTACTCCCCTGTATATTCAACTGCCTGGAATCCTTTCCATTGATGCTTGAACATGTTCAAGCCTGTTCTATCTGAAAACTTCCTTTCTTAATTCAGCATCCCCATCCAGTTATCAACTATCTACCTCCATCCTCCTACATCTAAACTTTTTTTTCACAAGGCTGTCTACAGTAGTGGTGTCCATTTAGTCATGTGCCACTAACTCTTCAGCATACTCCAAGATATCTTCTAGAGCCTTCACTCCACTGAAATCCCTCTTTATAATAAGATCACTACTCAGCACTTGGGTCAAAAAATGCAAGATCATTTTCAATCCTGTCTTGACTTCACAGCAGAATTTGGGACTCGTGACCATTCCCTCCTTCCTCACACCCTTGTGTGCCTTGTATTCCCTTGAACCACACTTATGGTTTTCCTCCAACCGGTTAGCTTTCTCCTTTGGAGGCTCATTCTCCCCTACCTGGCCATTAAGAAATTGCAGCATTTCATAGGCAGTAGAGGAGAATGAGCATTATGATTTTTTTAATCCAAGTTTCTATCCAATAATAGTCTCCTTCCTGGGCTAGGTAGGCCTTCTGAGTACCCTTCGACTTGTTTCTAATATTGTTATTGCCTTTCTGAAACATAAATCTGATTATGTCATGACTACCCCAAATTCTCTCATGAGTTTCTATTGCTCTTATGATAGAATCCTCAACCAAAATCCTAAACTTGGTTGGTTTGCAAGGCTCTGTATGGTCTGCCCCACGCCTACCTCTCCAGCTTTATGTAGCTTCATTCCCCCTTGGTTTTTACTTTCTTGTCACCCCTCTCCTTTGCACTTGACATTTTTCCTACCTGGAATTCCCTTTGCATTTTATATTTCAGCTTCCTGGAACACATTAGCCTTTGCATTTGATATTCCACTTGGAACATTCTTCTCATGCCCTTCCTTCTCACCCACTTCAACAAGTAAATGCTTAGTTTATCTCAGACTGTCACGTAAGCCCTTCCTGCTTGACAGATCTAGGTCAATGTCTTTTGCCACATGTTCTTAGAATCCTGTTTCTTTGTTTCAAAATTCTTATTTTAGCAGTATTTACACATTCCTGAGTGGAATTGATTAAGGTCTGTCCTTACTTGACTCCAGGCTCCATAACAGCATGAGCCATCTCAATATTTGTATCCACATTATATCCTAGCACTTAGCATAGTGCCAGGTATAAAATAGGCACTGAAGAAATACATAATAAATGAATTAATGAGTGATCACGTGCCAGATTTTATACAAAATGATTTTTATGTATTCTCATTTCATTTTCACAACCAAACATGTCATTTTTAACATCATCATTATTATTGTAATTTTAAAAAATTAAGTAAGAAGGCTTAGAAAATATGCTAAATAAGGAAGTTTTGTTATCTGTATTTTGTCAGAATAGGGACTGAGGCTTAAAAAGGTTAATCTTCTGCCCAGTATCACATGACTAGCATAGGTGGCAGCTATTTTAATCCAAGCCTGTCTGATTCCAGAACCCATGTCTTTGTCAACATGCCATGCTGCCTTCTTGCAACTTCATATTGCCCTTTGAATGTAACATTAGTTATTCAGCTTGAAGGGAGCTTGCAATTTACCTTGCACAAATACATCCATTTATGAGCCAGAAAAATTAAGCCATAAATATTAAGTGACACTACCAATTATAAAGCTACTTAGTGACAGAGCTGAAACTGGTATTGATCTCTCTTGACCCCTAATCTAATGCCTTAAGAAATACTACATTCAAAGTAGATTTGTAAGGCTTCGATTTGATTAAAGGGTTGAGAAAGCAAGACTCCATAACTGAAATTGTAGTTTATAATTCCATAATTGAACATGTAGATAAATAGATAGATAGTTATTACTCTAAGGCAAACTTGAATACTAGAAAAGATAATCACAGTGATGTCATTCAAAGTTTTGTACAATGCTTAGAATTTAATGAGCAAGGAAAAGGACCAGAAAACTAAAATATATGTTTCCCATAGGTATGTAACTGATCTTAGTTGTGATTTGTACCTCTAAGTGATGTTTGCTAAGGAGCAACAGGGTTTGAGTCTGTTCATTTCCATTGTTTTACTAGCTCTTCACCTTTCCCAATAGGTATCTAAGAGATTGTATGGCATGGGCTGTTATGAGATCTCTCTGGGAGACACAATTGGAGTGGGAACTCCAGGAAGCATGAAAAGAATGTTGGAAAGTGTCATGAAAGAAATCCCACCGAGAGCTCTTGCTGTTCACTGTCATGACACATACGGACAAGCCTTAGCAAATATCCTTACGGCCCTTCAGGTATTTTGTATTATTTGTGTGTATGCGTAAAGGTGTGTATCCTTATTTGTAATATAAACGTGTTAAGAGCTTTAGTGAGATAATATTTATAAATGGTTATGAATATAATGTTTAAACAGTGCCTGCCACGTGGCAAGCACTCAGGAAATATTTGTAAATTGCGCATGTTTTCTAGGGCAATGATGTCTCTTATTACTGTTAATTTCATTTGATAAAAATCCCTGAATTTGTTCTTTTTAAAGTATTAATCCTCTTAGACCTATGTCAGCTTTTTTTAACTCCCATATGCTCTCAGCCATAAAACTTAATAGACTGAAATGTGATGGCATTTTGAGGAACACAAAGCACAGGGATAGTAGAGTGTACTGTGTAATCGTGTAACTCATGCTCTTTTTGATAATAGGGTGCTCTATGATGAGAAGATATGGTGCTGAAATATAGAATATTTTAAGATGTTTTCCTGATGTTGGCAAGGATACTTTGGAAAGAACCCCTGGTTTTTATCAAGTGTATTCTGTTAGGTGATCAAAACAAAGAGATCTAGAAAGTTGGAGGAAGAAGAATTGCTTCTTCAATTCTAGTGATAACTGAGTTATTTTGAATGTATTTAAAAGAATAAATATAAATAGCATTTTAAGGGTATTATTTTAAAACTAATATTAGTTTCTTAAATACAGCTAAAAATAGATTCATTTGATGTTCTTAGAACCCAAGATTTTGACAACTAAAGATAAGACTATATGAAAACTTTTTGATGAGGCTGAAAATCAGTATGTAAAACTTAATGTCACAATCCTAAAGTGTACAGTTGCTTGGCAGAAGTTAAAAAACAATGTGAAGATCCAGCCCCACAAAGGCTTATTTTGACTTTGTAACATATGTGCACAAATCCTTATTTATCCTCTGGAAACAGCAAGGAACATTGTATTGAATTAGAAGAGAAAATGATATCCCATGGACTTTTGGGCGTGGGAATTGCTATAATTTTCCTTCCCTAGATATTCTAGTTTCTAAAACAATAGAGAACTCGGCAGCACTTCAGGTTTCTGTGTTCAGCTGCAACTGTAACTTATTAAGCGTTCCTGACCAGGAGTTCCTGAAGAGGTCTGTGTCTGTCTCTCTCTCTCTCATTTCTTTTATGGATATATTCTCTATATGGTAACACTTTGAGTAATGTTTTATTCATGTAGCATATTTATTATATAATGAATGACAGTTTAGTTCTTTGGGCTACAGGGCTATATAGTGCAAAATCTGGGAACCCAGACTTTTTCTTCTGGAAACTGTCTGCCTCTTGAAAATGCCCGAGCGCAAAATATTGTTGATACCCTATTGCGATTTTAACAGTTGAGGAAAACCTATCTTTCTGAAGAAGTAATGTTTCAAGTCAGATATAAAGAATGAGAAGGAGCTAACCCCAATATGGTGTGTGTGTATGTGTGCTGGTGTGTGAAACAAATGGTTCAAGCTGATGAAACACCACTTGAGTGAAAGGCCTTGGGAGAGGGGGGGATCATGTCCCAGGAACTGAATAAAACTAATGTATTCAGAGGAGAAGCTAAGCTTTATAGCATTTGCTGAATGAGTTGAATTGCAAAGTCTCTGTTTACAAAGAGATGAGACTTGAAATCCTGGGGCATTTGCCCGTCCTCTAGCAGCCACATAGCGGGACAAGAAACAACCTTGGGCCCAAGTAAGATGAGGAGCATGGATGAAAACCTATATAAGGCTGAAGCCCCCAAAATACCACACCCTCAGTCAAAGGGTGAACCACCAAAACTTTTCCCTCACAAAGGAAGAAGGCGAGCATATTCATTCTCAGGGCCTTGGCTATGGGCAGAGGAGAAATATAGTCTTCCCTTATATGTCGTAACCTTTCGTTGACCCTCATGTGGCGTAAGGGTTCAAATTCACATTGCCTGAAGACTTGGAAAGACCCAAGAAGAATATAAATCTTTTCTGAAGGAACACATCTTCAATTTAAACTGAACTATTTAGGATGTGTGTGTGTGTGTTGTGTGTCAGGGGAGGGGTGGATATTCTGTTCTTCAGCAGCTCCTGTGGTAGTTAATAGGAGGTGTGTCTACAAGCATCTGTAACTGTGTCTTCTATTCTTGTACTGTGTGCACAAGCTCTAAGTATATATGGGAGGTAGGAGGGCGGAAGGGAGCTAGGGGCCTGGGAAAGCAAGAGTAGACTTCCAGCTCAGTGTTACCTGGCCCCAGAGCTTAAGTTGTAGTCACAGTGTGAATGGGTGGAGAAGAGGGTAACAGTGGCTTGTATAAGAAGCAACATGACATGAAACCAGAGAGGCTATTTAACATGAGTGATTGAGGAAATGGTCAAAAGCAGAGACCTGCTGAGGAAACTAAAAGTTAGAGTTGTAGAGTTTTCTGTCTTTTCTGCCATTCACTTTCATATAGTTTGATAAGCCAGTGACACATTAGAAAGAAATATACCCTGTTGCTCTCTTTGAAACTGGGTGCAATGTTTTGGAACTTTTATGTTCATAAAGGTAGCTGAATGTGGTACTGGAGCGTCGTTGCAAATAACACATGGGTACTGGTCCCCAGCAGCACTGAGTAAGGTGGCGTCCTCCAGTGCTCTTTTCCTCTTCTCATCTCCCATCCCCTCCTTAATAATTGCAACAACAACCAAATGACTAGGTTTACCTTTAGTGGAAGAGAAAAAATGTCTTGGAAAAAACTGCCGGTGTTTAAATAGAAGTCCGAGAAAGTCTTGCTTCATTATGAACAGGGCTAACCTTGGCTTCAGGAAGCAAGGGCCATACTTCAATTTTTAAAATGGTGTCTTTGAAGTGGCTTCTAGTAAAATTGGTGGTGGATGTGGAGTGGATATCATTTGCTTTCATTTAGGGATTGAGAAACAGTTTACAGTGCTCTAAACTGAAAGTTAATATTAAGACAAGGAGACATGTAATAGTGGAAACTTGGCCACAGTGGTAGGAAGCAAATGAGAGTTATGAATGGACCATCCCCCCTCAGTCTGGAAAGCACACACCAATTGTGTAGTAGAGGGAGTTTTCTCGGGTTCCCAGCTTTCACTGTATTTTTTATTACTTAAACATATGACTTATAGGACTATGGATGGTTGTATGGGAGTGAAGAATTCATAATTATCAGATATTATTTAATATAGAGAAATAATTCTGAGACTATAGATGTAAGTGCAGGATATTTATAACCACTCAAAACCAAAAGAGCAAGAAAATGAGGTGACAAAACGTACAACATTTTAGGAGTGGAAGAAACATACATGGCCCAATATATTTGTCTTAATTTTTTGTGTAAAAATTGGGCTTCACCCTCCTGCATATTCCCAAGTACCTCAGTAAAACACCAGTGAACAAATTGTTTAAGACTTAATACCAAACAATTGCACAGTCTCTATTTTTCTCCACTCAAATGATTTGAGTCTTCATAATTGGGTAAAAACAGAATAAAACAAATGAGATCCAATGCCTCAAATAATAGTACCTTGTTAATTGGTAGCATGGAGACAAAGCACAATGGGCAACAGTTAGCATTCTCCTAAAGAACTAGTGTGTGCCTTTTTACTCTTAAACTTAATAGACTTTTAGCTAATGTGCCTTTCCTCATAATGTTTTTCATATGTTTATTCTCTTTTAGAAAAACCAGATTATTTACCTAATTTTTTACATCAAAGCATTCATTTTTTATATTGACTCTTACTAAACCATGTTTAAACGCTACCCAATAGCAAATATTTCTTCCTATAATTTGTTTTTGAGGTTCTCAAGGACACTTTTTAAAAATTCTAATCACTAGTGAGATGAGTCTCTCTGTTCTCAGTTCTGTATCTGTAGAAGGCATACAGTGATGTCCATCTCCTCAAATTATGCAAAATTGATATAAGATGTAGCGTTTCTAGGACAATTGTCATGGTAACAGTACATTTGGTTAACACTATTGTTACAGTCATTTTAAGTAATACTACTACTAATAATAACAATAATAACTTTTATTAATTTAGTTGTGAGTAGAGCCAGTAAAGCATTGCATTACAAATGTGTTTTGTAAATACGCACATTAGATGTTATTCATTTCATCAACATCTGTTAAAGAGCTAAGTAGAAATCATGAACAAACAAGAAAGAAAACAAAAAGTTGAAAATTGGATGCCCCTACAGAGGTTTTAGAAAATGCATCATAAATTTATTTAACAGATATTCATTTTATCAGACGCTGATGTAGGTGTTAGATTCAGATGTTAAAGTCTCTGAGCAGTACTGCTGTGAAGAAAACTGTTTTAGTTTAACTCAGTATTTTCAAAAGCCTTTTGATTGTGAAATAGTTTTGCTTTTGTTTTTTGCCACACAATTAACTTTCTCCAGCATGGCATTCTGTTGGAAAATATTCTCATATGAAGGTGGGATTATGTGTAAGTTATGATCAAAAAATAAATAAGTAGGGACCAGCCCCAGGGCCTAGTGGTTAAGTTCAGTGCACTCTACTTTGGCAGCCTGGGTTCAGTTCCTGGGTGCGGTCCTACACCACTTGTCAGTAGCCATGCTGTGGCGGTGACCCACATACAAAACAGAGGAAGAGTGGCACAGATCTTAGCTCAGGGCGAATCTTCCTCAAGCGAAAAAAGAGGAAGATTGGCAATAGATGTTAGCTCAGGGAGAATCTTCTTCAGCAAAATAAATAAGTAAATAAAAGAGGACAAACAGTCCAGCAGAAGTTTAACACTGTCCACTTTTCAAGTGTGTATAAACAGGGCTCCTGAGCTGTGAAAGTCGGAGAGAAAAAGATGAACAAAGTATATATAATTTCTATATAATTTTTCAAGTGGTTGGATTGCTATATCGGTGATGAAAAATGAATAAACATTTGAATAATTTTGTTTTCTTTTGTTTATATCCAGCATCTTTTTATTAATATAAACTTCTCTCTGATTTTGGCAATAGGTGATCAGTTTTTGTTTTCAGAGATAATGTAATTTTTATCTATTTCTAC